TCCAGCCTAGTTGGCATGGCAATAACCTATGAACCAGGAGGTCACAGTTCGATTCCTGGTCAGGGCATATGCCCGGGTTGCAGGCTTGATCTTCAGTCTGGGCCATGCAGGAGGCAGCTGATCCATGATTCTTTCTCATCATGGATGTTTCTCTCTCTCTCCCCCTCGCCCTTCCTCTCTGAAATCAATAAAAATATTTTTAAAAATATTAATTCAGAGTTTCCCTGTATTCCTCACTCAGCCTCACATATTCACAGCATCATGATCAGAACCAAGAAATTGACATTGGTACAATGTTACTGTAATTTACAGTAAAGTGATATGAACATTGTAACAGGACAAGAAATTAACATTGGTACAATGATGTGAACATTGTAACAGGACAGGGAATTACACATTGGTACAATGATGTGAACATTGTAACAGGACAGGGAATTACACATTGGTACAATGATATTAACATTGTAACAGGACAGAGAATTACACATTGGTACAATGATATTAACATTGTAACAGGACAGGAAATTACACATTGGCACCATGTCGCTATAATTTATGGTACAATGATGTGAACATTGTAACAGGATAGGAAATTAACGTGGGTACAATGTTTCTGTAATTCACCGGTACAGTGATGTTAGCATTGTAAACAGTGCAGGACGTTACCGTCAGCAATTGCCTTTAACTGCTCTGAAGACCTCCTGTGAACTCCACAGCTTTTCCACCAGGACCCTTCTCTTGTTCCCGGGTCCCGTCCAGGTCCCACATGGCATTAAGCGGTCGCTTCTCCGTAGTCCTCCCGAAGTCTTGACCAGTTTCGTATTCTTCCTTGGTTTCTCACAACCCAGATAACTCTGAAGGGTACTGATTATTCTTTTGCCCCATGTCCCTCAAATTTGGTGTTTTTAGGTGATTGGACCGAAGTAATGCAAACTGCACAAGTGATGTCCCCCTTTCCCTATGCTAAAGCACGTGGTGCGTGATGTCATTGTCACTTCCTGCTGGGGACGTTGGCCTTGACCTCCTGGTAACGGTGGTTTCTCTTCTGTCTTATGGCCCCGCGTACAGCATTCCCTCTGGAGTTCAACGTCTTGTGGCGATGCCCTGAGACCGTGCACATCCTGTGACCCCTCACACGTGGCTCCGGACTCTGGCATCCGTCTGCACCATTACTTCTGGGGAGTTTGCTTAGTGGTGGTTTTGTTTGTTTGTATGTTTGTTTTCATCTCTCCTCCGTTTATTCACTCCTCCTCCGTGCGTGTGTTCAGCTGGTTTTTACCTCAGGGTGGGCTTGTGGTCGTTGACTTTATCCCACGCGGTGTAATCCAGCGCTCGCTGTTTGCCGTGTTGTCTCATTGACAGCCCCTGTAGTAGCAGCCTTTGTCTTCTGCCATCAGACAGAGGAGATGTGTGTTCGTGTGTGTGTGTGTGTGTGTGTGTGTGTGTGTGTGTGTGTTTAGCACTTCCTTCCTCCGTGGCTCCACGGATGTTTTTTTCCTGGACTCATCTTGTATTTTCCCTTCTTCCGGCCCTGGATTCAGCCTCTCCGGCAGCCCCACGGCCTTCTTGTGGAGAAGTGTTGAGGGACCGAGATCCAGGGTCATGACTGCTGGGGTCTCCTCGCTCCTAGTCGTTTTCTTAGTGGACAGAGCTGGGAAATGTATGTGCGTACAGACGTGTGCTGTATGTACACTCACGCACATGTATTCCTCCTTCTGTCTGTGTCTTCAACACCATGACTTTATACGGATCCCTTGTCTTCCAGGTCAACAGCACCCAGTTCGCTTTATCTTCCCCTTCCTGTGTTTCTGACTTTCTTCCCAGGAGGAAGGCATCGGCCCTTGTTGTCTGGGAATTATTTACTTACCTGGTCCATTCTAGCATCCACCTAGAGCCGCCGTCGACAAACTGCGGCTCGCGAGCCACGTGCGGCTCTTTGGCCCCTGGAGGGTGGCTCTTCCACAAGATACCACGGCCTGGGCGAGTCTGCGTTGAAGAAGTGGCGTTAGAAGAAGTTTAAGTTTAAACAATGTGGCTCTCCAGAGAAATGTCCGTCGTCGTCCTGTTGATAGTTGGCTCTGTGGACGAACGAGCTTGCCGACCCCTGGCCTGGAGTCTAGAGTAGAGAAACACGTTTACCGCCTAGGTTATGGCATTCATCTGCGATCAGGCATTGTTGCCCAGAGTGTCTGAGGCTGGAGCCGTGTTCCCCACCCCTTGGGGGGTTATGGCAGCCATCGGTAATGCAGTTGGTGTTCCCTCGGGGGCTGCACATCCTGATCGAAGAGAGAACCCGTCCTTACCCGGTGATCGGGATGCCACCTTGCCCCCTGCTGCGCTGGCTCCCGTGCCTGGGTCTGCTGGGCACTTCCTGTTCCCGTCCGCTGGCCTGGGTGCTGGTCTGTGCACCAGCCCACGCAGCTTGAGACGCGGAGGGTCCGCGGTGCGTGCTGACGGTGGCAGGGCTCGGCCATCTCGCGATTTCCCTTTTCCAGTGTTTTCCTGGCCATTCCCAGGTGGACGTGCAGTCCGGCTCTGGTCTGAGCAGGGTGGCATCTGCCGTGGGGGCTGTCTGCCCAGGAACAGCACGAGACGTGTGGGAGTTCGTGGTTGGGTGTCGTACGCACCCTTGCCTTCCCGAAACTCGAGGATTAGGCCGTTGGAAAGGGAACCTGCGTCCTCGTTTTGACTTAATTTACTTCCTTTGTGAGGCCGCCTTTGGACATTACCTTTCCTGCTAGAGTCTTCCCCGGGGTTTTAATTCATAAGGGGCCTGCCCTAGGCGGGAGGCTGTGGACGGCGCCCCCTGATGCCCAGGGCAGGAGCCTGCGTCCTGGCTGGTGGCTCTTCAGCCTGGGACAGGAGCCGCATTGTTCCCCTCGAGCTGTCCCCCTCCTGCGGCTTCCCTGCCTGGCATTGCGCTCCGTGCTGGAGGCTGCTCTCTCCGCCGGATGACCCCGTGCTCGGACCCAGGTCACGCCCAGGCTCATGGCATCCCCCTGGCCAGCAGGACACACCATAACAAGCACAGCCCCGGAGGGCGTCAGCCGAGCGGCCCGAAACTGTGGCTTCATCGCTCTTGGGGAGCAGGTTTAATTCTCCTCCATGGTTTTTGGGGGGTGAGATCGGTGTGGCTAACACAGGGCGGAGTGGAAGCGTGGAACTGACAGTGTGCTGTGCCTGTGAGCTTCCTTCGGGTCCCCGGGAATTCCTAAGAAGGAGCCCCTGAAGGGGACACCGCCTCTCGCTGGGGCTGTGCCTGCCAGCAGGGCGTGGGCGCCTCTTGCAGAGTTTTGTTTTCCCACCCGATCGTGTCTCAGAGCTGGAACCGGCTCTCCACGCAGAGTCTCTGAGGTAGATGGACAGTGGAGGGAAGCTGGGGGGTGGGCGTTTTTTCTTGCAGCCAGTCAGAACTTACTTGACCACGATACACGTCAGGAAGCGGTTTAAGGAGAGTTTCATTCCAGATCGTGTTGTTGGCCTCTTGAGAAAATTTATTTTATTTATTATTATTTTAAAATATTTATTATTGATTTAAGAAAAACATATTTTATTGATTTTTTAGAGAAGAAGGGAGAAGGATAGAGAGTTAGAAACATCAATGAGAGAAATATCCATCAACTGCCTCCTGCACACCCCCCACTGGGGATGTGCCCACAACCAAGGTACATGCCCTTGACCGGAATCGAACCTGGGACCCTTCAGTCCGCAGGCTGATGCTCTATCCACTGAGCCAAACCGGTTAGGGCGATCTTTTTTTTAAAGAGAGAGGAAGGAAGAGGAATATGCAGAGAGAAACATCCATGATGAGAGAGAGTCGTTGAGCGGCCGCCTCCTGCACACCCCATACCGGGGAGCGAGTCCGCAACCCGGGCATGTACCCTGACCGGGAATCGAACCCGCGACCCCTTGGTTCACGGGTAGTCACTCAGCCACTGAACCACACCGACTGGGCTCAAGAGGATTTATTTTAAAAAGGACAAGACTTGGTTGGCTACCCAAGCCCTGGTTTGTTCTTTCAAAAAACATCATCAGTCTTGTTGCCGTGGGGGTCATATTCATTTAACCGCACCTCTCTCACGGGGAGAGTGTTAATTGCAAGAACCTGGGTGGATGTGGGCCGACAAGCCCAGGGGAGTTTACCGGAAGGTGCAGAGGACGCACAGAGCGGAAGGCTGGGTTCCACCAAGAGCCGGGGGGCAGGAGCTGGCAGCCCCGGGGGTCTGCGAGGTGCAGCCACCAGCCTGGCTCACTGCCAGCCAAGGAGTCCCAGGTTCCAGGGAGAGGTGGCTGGCCCCGGGGTTCCTGCCCACCCACCTGGGGCGGTAGGAAAAGAGAAAGGGCACCTCAGGTGCAATGCCAGCAGCCAGGGACCAGGAAGTAGGAACTCTCTAAAAACAGGGCTCTCACCAAAGGAAGGGAGGACACAGACCTGGCACCCGCTGTGCATGGCCAGGTGCTGTGCCAGAGCCGCAGACCCACAGGCCAGCCTGGGGACCTCCCCCCCTCCCCGGGGCCTGAGCATTCAGGACACCCCTCACCGCCTTCATCCTGACAGACGTGCCCTTGTTCCTGGGAGTCTCTGCTTCCCATCCCTGTCCCTTCACTGAACCTGCCCCTGAGCGAGAGCCAGCCAGGTGCGTGCACAGGTGTGTGCACAGGTGCGTGCACTGGCTGATCATTGACCTTTGCTGCTACCGTACTTAGAACCATGGTTGGCAAACTGCGGCTCGAGAGCCACAGGCAGCTCTTTGGCCCCTGGAGTGTGGCTCCTCCACAAAATACCACGGCCTGGGCGAGTCTGTGTCGAAGAAGTGGTATTAGGAGAAGTTTATGTTTAAAAAAATGTGGCTCTCCAAAGAAGTTTCAATTGCACTGTTGATATTTGGCTCTGTGGACCGGTGAGTTTGCCGACCACTGGCTTGGAAGCACAGGTTTGCAGAGCCTCTGAAGAGCAGGCCACCCGTGCCCGGTCTCCTCACCGCGCTCCTCTCTTCCAGGGCCCGCTCTCTCTGGCCTTCGAGGAGGACCTGCAGCAGCCGCCCCTGGAGCTGGCGGTGCAGCAAGTGTCCAGTGCGGCCAGGTCGGCCCAGGAGAAGGTGAGCTGGGGACGGGGGGTGGGGGATGCGTGGGCCTGATGTGGGGATGTGTGTGGGGGGGTGTCTCCTGTGAGGGGCCTGTCCTTGCCCAGGAAGCTAATCTGAAGCGGACGGGGGTCGTTGATTCTGCTTTAGAGTTATTTGGAAACGTAGATGCCTTCCATTAAAAACATCTGCACATCAGCTGGTGAGCGGAGACGTAAAAAGTGGAATAGCCATACAATAGGCTGAGTGTTTCCCAAACTTCTGACACATGTGTACCCCTCCTATAATTTTCGTTACGCTGAGTAACCCTCGTACTCATGAGAACGTAGAATTAGGCGCAGCTAAGTGTGGTACAGTGCATATCCCCACCAAACTCCGGTGCAACACGTACCCCCACCAAACTCTTCCCGTACCCCTGGGGGTATGCGTACCACACTTTGGGAAACACTGCTGAATAGGGTATCATCCGGCCTTTAAAGGAATGGATTTCTGACGAGCCACAACACTTGAGCCTTGAAGGCACTATGCTCCATGGCAGAAGCCAGACACTAAAGATCGCTGACTGCGGGGTTCCTTTTGCGGGAAGCGCCCGGAAGAGATAAGTCGGTAGAGACAGAAAGCCGGCCAGTGGCCGCCAGGGCTGGGCGGGGAGATGGTGGTGACGGCTGGCTGAGGGTACGGGTTTCCTTCGGGGGTGATGGAAATGTCCCAACAGGGGAGGCAGGCGTGGCTCACACAACTCTGGGAAGCGTACTGCAAAAACATCGAATTCTACCGTGTAAGTGGGCAAATTATATGGTATGTGAACTTGTGTGTGTGTGTGTGTGTGTGTGTGTGTGTGTATTCTGCAATATGATATACAGATTTGAGCCACTGAGATAGGATGGAGAGTTCATTTTACAGTCGCTAACCTCCCACAAGCTGAAATTACTTATTAGACCCATCCAATACCATAAATAATTTTATTGATTTTTTTTTCCTTTAAAAAACGCAAAGTATCTTGTCAAGCATCCCAAAGAAGCACATTCAGTTAAAAGCGTGCCATCCAGCAGCGGGGGGTTGGGGGGGAACCTTTGTGATCCCAGATCGAGAGGCAGAGCCTGAACGTCCGCCCGCCCGCCCACGTGGGTCTCCTCCCTGTCTCAGCGGGAGTGATGTTTGTTTGTTTGTTAGAGACATTACCACTGTGTGTGTGTGTGCAGGGTCACAGCCCGCGTTCTCTGTGGAGGGCGGCGGTGTGGAGAGGGTCCGGGTGGGTGGATGTAGCTCCGATCATTGGCTTCAATTCGGTCAGAGCTCCAGGCTCCGGGCGGCCCGCAGGCTCCCTCTCCGTCCTCTGAGGCGGCTCTCTCTCCGTCACAAGGGCAGCAGCGGGACGAGCCTGACTGCGCAGGGCCCTAACCCTCGGCCTAGCCTGGGCCTGAGGGGGGATTATGGGAGGGTGAGGGGGTGGCCAAGCTGTGGGTATGCAGTTTCCCAGAACTGGTCCCCAAAGTGCTGTTTCAGCTGACTCTGCCCACAGCACCCTCCCCTGGGGAGTCTCTGGAAGATATCGGGGTGACAGGAGGAAACGGGCGGCCACCGCGCAGGATGCCGAGTCTGGCGTGGCCGGCAGCGCTGGATGGGGCTGCATGAGCAGGGGTCACAGCGGGGACTGAGGCGCAGACCCCGCAGGCCTGACCTCCTGGGGCTCCGGCCTGGGCAGTGCCTCCGGGGCAGCCAGCGCCCTCACTATTACAGGCCTATGGGGCCCGGGGCCCCTTGTGGTGGGCAGGCCCTGATTGGTGTTTTCTGCCCCTGTCCCAGCTAAGAGGGGGGCAGAGCGCCCGGGGCTGGCCCGGGGTGCGGGGGAGGAGCAGGCCCGGGAGCAGCAGGGGAGCGTGGTTAGAGGTCTGGCCCTGGTGCCCGGGAAGGCGGGTGGCTACGGTAGGTTTGTGTGACTACAGCTGCAGAACTGTGCACGCTCGCGAAGAAGTTCACGGCCACTCAGAAGTGCGGACACTCTCCTGTGAGGTCTGTGCTGGGCCCTCCCCCTGGGCTCCCTGGGCTGGGCCCACTGACCGCTGTCCACAGGGGCGGGCCCTGGCGGGAGGGGCTCCCCACCGCCTGCAGGCAGACCGAGGGGGGCACACCCGGTCCTGTTGGTTTTACAGTCGCCGTCATAGCTCCTGACGTGCATGTTCCTGGCCCGGCAGGGACGTGAGACCTTGGCATTGCCTTGTGCCGTGGCGGGTGCCGTCCCCCTCGGACAAGCTGGCCGGCCGGTTGGGGGACAGGCGCCCGGGGCCCTGCATGGCATGGGAAAGCAGGTCTGGTGGTGTCGTGGGTCACAGTAACGCCCGGCAGCCGGGGCCCTGTGCCCGCCTGCCATGGGGACGCCCTGCCCGCGTCTGCCTGGCTCCCGGGAAGCGGGGCGTGGGCTCGCCGGTCGCTCGGCTCCTGCACGTGGCCTTGGCCGCTCTCGGACGAGCATCTGGCTGAGCTTGGCACGTGTCAGGGCGTCCTTTGACAAAGGAATGGAGCCAGACGGATCGGTCTCCTGTAACGCGTCCCTGCCGGGAAGGTCCTTAATCTGTGCGTTAAATGGAGGAGAGCTGATGTTCTCGAGCAGTCTATGCGGCAGGACGCCAGAGGGCTGTCCTCCTCCTTTTAGGGTCTGACCTCCACACATGACCCTCCCCCCACTTGTATGGAATCCCGTGTCCGCATCCTCTGGTTCCCTCTGCTCGACGTCGTTCTTGAGAAGGAAAAGCCAACGGACCCCGAAGCCCACAACACACGTTACCGAAGAACTACAGATGTGATTTCGAGGACACTGCCCGCCCCCCACTCCACCCCTCGCCTCCCACGGTGTCAGGCCGTAGCTTTCTCGTCTCTCAGAGGCGGCCACGACATGGGCCTGGTTCCTGAGGGCCCGCAGGAAGGCTGAGGCCAAACAAAGTCAGGGAGATGCTCCGAAGGCTGACCAGTGGGCCCCTGCCCCCCGCTCTCACCTAAGTGACCAAAGATGCGACTACACACCAGACCCCGAGGCCCAGGCAGGCTTGTCTCCATCATCAGCTCCAATGCCATGTGCAGGCCCACACTCCGCCCAGGTCCTCCAGGCCTGCTGGGAGCCCGTGTTTGCCTAGCCGGTGGGGCTCACCTGTACATGCCACCCCCCAGGCCCCCCTCTGCCTCCCGCCCAGGCTGACAAGCACGGGGACTCCTCTCCCCTGATGGTGATCACGCTCTCACCCAGAGCAGCTTCCACCCGCCTTCGCGGTGCCCGTGTCCTCGGAACATGTGACCCAGCGAAGGGAGCCTCTCCTGCAATGCAGCCCCGGCCCCAGCCAGCGCTTCCTCCGCACGATGGATGCGGCCACAGCCCTGCCCGCACGGCCCCGGCTCCGAGGTCCCACCGGCTCTGTGCGGGCGGGCGGCCCACGGGCCCACGGGACATGCCTGTGTGGGGATCGCCGTCTGGGGCTTCATGCCGTGACAGGCACTTTGCAGAGACAGCTGAGCACTTTTTTTTTTTTTTTAATTTCTGGAATTTTTCTTTCTTTCTTTCTTTCTTTCTTTCTTTTTTTAATAAATCTTTATTGTTCCGATTATTACAATTGTTCCTCTCTTTCCCCTCCGTTGCTCCCCTCCACCAGGTTCCTCCCCCACCCTCTGCCCTTTCCTCACCCCCCACTGTCCTCATCCATAGATGCACAGTTTTTGTTCAGTCTCTTCCCGCACCCCCCTCTCCCCTTTTCCCTGAGAATCAGTCCACTCCCCCAAGCACTTCTTTTATGCAGGGGCAGGTGGAGTGCCTCTAGACGCGCTGGTTTTAGGGACGCTTGCCAGGGGAGCATGCAGGGAGCACCCTTTGGAGACCGGCAAGGCTGCAGGCTTTCTCGGGGTGCGGCCGGCGCCGTGTGGAAAGCATCAGGCAGCGCTGTTTTCATGCCGGTTGTAAACAAGCAGAGGCTGCTCGTGGATGCACACCCGTGGGCTGGGGAGTGAGGTAATGGGGTAACCCAGCCCGGGTGGGGCGGGGACACTAGTTGCACTGGGCTTGTGTGGGGCGCTTCCTTCTCTCAGCCGCAGGAGCTGTCTGTAAGGGGACCCCTCCCTGCAGGAAGGTGGGGGCGCCCGCCTGGGCACCCCGGCACCACGCCTGCCTCGTCATTGCTACTCCTGATGCTGATGCCATCGGATGTGAGCGGTGATGGGCGCGTGCCCATGGGTGCTGAGTCCAACACTCCTGCGCCCGGGCGAGTGGCATGCCCACGGCACCGAGGAGAACGGCCAGGCAGAGGGAGGCCGAGCCGCCCGGCAGCTGCGGAGGAGCAGAGGCTGGGCTTGAACCCCCGTCCGCCCCCAGGAGGGAGCTCCGGCCCCTGCCTCTCACACAGCACGCCGGGACTGTTGTTTCTGCATTTCTTAGTATTGTTTCCCCTCAGCCCTCACTCCCACTCTCACCAGGAAAAAGGACTGAAAGGCTCTCACCCGCCTCGGCTTCCATGAAGCCGGAGCGACACGGAATTGGGCCATGGCCAGGGACTTCCCCCAGGACCGGTCCGCATTGTGTGCTGGGGAACCCCACAGCCGCCGGGGTGTGTGTGTGTGTGTGTGTGTGTGTGTGTGTGTGCTGTGTGCTGTGAGCACATGTTTTCACTGAGCCTGCCTGTTACTCAGTTACTTCCTGAAATACACTCGGCAGGCTTCTGGAGACCCCACCCCCACCCCACCCCCGGCTCTCCAGGCCTCATGGGGTCCCTTGGTTTGCGAAGGTAGCCAGGTTCAAAGTTGCTCATGTTTGTCTGTAGTCAGAGATGGGGGAACGTCTGGCCTGTGGGCCATAGAAGGCCCGAGAAATCATTGGGTCTGGCCCTGTGTAGGCATCCGGGATGAGTTAATGAAATGTGTGACCACACGTAGCAGGCTAATTGTTAAGTGGATAATTTTGCATGGCCCTCGAATGATGCTGTAAATATCCAAATGGCCCTGGGCAGAAAAAGGTCCCCCACCCCCTGCTCTAGTTG